CGTCGCTTTTGTTCGCGCCGCTGCTATCGATATTAACGGGAATCGATTCGTCGTGCCGAACGGGCCCCGAGTCCTTCTCGTTCCTCCGGCCCCGTCATCGGCGACCTAATCGTTTGGTCTCGGGGGGCCCCTCGAATGCCGAAGTAGCTCCAGTTTTTCGAAGAGCGTCCTCCTCGTTCCCGCTCGCGCTCGCGCGCGCCTTTTCTGTCGAGAACGTCGTAAGAGCGCGACCGATCGGTTGAATCGATCGACTTTGTACGGAATATGAGATTCCGTCGAGCGCCGCTTTTGATGTCCGCCGTTTAATTATGCCCTCTCACTCAAAAAGTCGGCAGCCAATATCGCATGGCGACGGCGAGGAGAGGAGTGCGAGAAGAACGCGGGAAAGGGAGGAGGGACAGAGAGAAAGAGAAGGAGCTGAGAGGGATCAAGGAGCAATGAGAGAGGAGCACCTCGGGGGAAATCCAGTCACGAGGAAGGGAATGTGCAAATGCCATCGCGAACGCTGAGCAACTGCAATTTTGTTCTTGCCGCGGAGAGTCCCCTGAGGAAAAAGACCTCGAGCGGGCAAAATATTGTAATTGCGTTATCATGAGAGAGAGAACGTCGCGTCGTGTACATGCGTACGTCGGAGACGCAAAGAAGTTTCGCGTTTATCTCGCAAGTTTGCATCTTCTCTCCGCGTCTCACTCGCGATGATCCGACGAACGCCGCCTCTGGCCAGGCTCACAGCTAAGCTACTTTTTACCACGATCCACTCGTCGTAATTACGAGGACATTATACGCGAAGTAATTTTGTCACCCGCATGTTTACCTCCCTTTTTTTTTTTGCACGAGAAACGTTCCCCAATGAACTGCCGGTCGCCGGGAGACAACTTTTACTGCTTCGGGAAGAAAGATCGCAGCGCGTTTACGGGCCGATGGAGCTCTCATCGTAAGCTACGACGCCAAGTCCCGAAACAACTCTTCTAATACGGTAACTCGAGGAGGGAAGAAGCCTCCGTGCGGTTCCCCAACCCGAATCTCGACCGAAATACCGACTCGAAACCTGCCGAGTGCGAGCATCTGCGCGCACCTTGCGAGCAACTGACACACCGCCCGTGAATTCCTACGGTGCGACGATATTTTCGCCGCGATCACGCGAAGCCGAACAAAGTTCACGATGGAAAAGAATTCGATCATCGTCGTTGCCGATCATGATCGTAATTTCCACCCGAGACTGAGGCAACAGAGTATTCCTTTACTAGGCCGCGATCCTAGCGAAATAGTTAATAATTCTAACTTCAGTTCTAAATTTACCGTCACATCGATCATAGAGAAACGCGGTGAGCCGCGTGAAATGGATCTTCGGAATCCACGAAATCCCAACGCGAGTTCCCGGATCGATTCGCTTCGCTTTAATATCAATGCTACGGGCATCCTTCGCGGGGTTCCGCCGTAATCACGTCGTGGGCCCTACGGGTACGCGCGCGGCCTCGCGTTTTTAACGGCCACGTGGCCCTAACTCACGTCATCGTCGCGCTACACAGCCGCAGGAAGCGTATACTCGGATGCTGTACGGGGCATAAATTATGCGCGCCATTAGATGCTAACTATGGTCCATGACCAGGTATGTATCACTGCGCAACAGCTGATACCGGCAGATAAGGACGGTTGTCGAGGAGGGAGTTGGGGGGGGGGG